TCTCTCTGCCTCTCCTCTCAATCTCCCAAAAAAAAAAATAACAGGGTGACTAGAGAGATCGAATAAGATAGTATTGGATCCACTTCTGTGTCTTAGCACAGTGGTCCCCAACCTTTTTGGCACCAGAGACCAGTACTATGAGAATCTAATGCCTGATGATCTGAGGTGGAGCTGAGGCGGGGAGCAGCTGCAAATACAGGTGAAGCTTTGCTCACTAGCCCACCGCTCACCTCCTGCGGTGCAGTCTGGTTCCTAACAGGCCGCAGATCGGTACCGGTCCGTGGACCAGGGGTTGGGGACCCCTGCCTTAGCAGGTTACCTCCACAGGCAGGGAATAACTTTGGCTCCAACACTGTTCCAGATCCCTGAGCCAGTAAGAAATTTGCTTCCTTAGTTTGATTTGTTTGATTAACACCATTCTTCGGTATTATCTCTTACAGTTCTAGACCAAGGGACGAGTTCTGATGCTAGAGTTCACCATGTGAAGTCAAGCAAATCATATAGTATGGGGGAAATGGAGAAGGGAAGGCAAAGATACCTACATTAGCAGCCTGTGCCTGCTAACAGAGGGACACAGAACTTAATGTGCCAGGCTTATTATGACTGAGTTGATACAGTTAAGTCCTCACTTAACATCATCGATAGGTTCTGCAACTGTAAGTGGAATGATATATAAAGAAACCAATTTTACCATAAGCTAATTGATATAAACAAGAGTTCAATTCTGACAGCATCTCATGACAAAAAAAAAAAACAACAGTATTCAAGGACCTGCTTTACTGCCTGCCCTCCTTCACCCTGGTGTTCCCCTCTTTAGGGGGATGCATGGTCTATCTATGAAGTGCTTTGTGCTCTTAGGAAGAAAGAAGCTAGGCCATATAAGACACATGAGGACCCTATTAAAATTCAGATTCTGATGCAGTAGGTCTGAGGTGAGGCCTGAAATTCTACATTTCTAACAAGCAGCACCCACTTAATGCTGATTCTCTGACCATACTTTGAGTTACACACTTGGAGTAACTTTGAATTTTGAGCAACTAGGACACTGATTCTCCAAGACTGGTCTGAGGACCTAGGTATCAACCCAGATTCTCTTAATCAAACCTTCTGGGGATGGGGTCTGGCAAGTCTCATTTTAAGCCATTCCCTCAGGTGCTGCTGTGAACATTAAGTTTCAGGACCATTGCATATAATCAGTGTTTCTCAACTGCAGTTCCATGTTAGAAGAAACTTTTAAAAATACTATGCCCTAGGTGCATCACAGGTCAAGAACTCAGACCGTCCAAGGGTAGTACCAGGACATTAGTGTTTTGTTTTGTTTTGTTTTGTTTTGTTCATCAACTTGTTTTTTAAAGTACCCCTAGGTGAGCCTAGAGCATACGGATGGGTCAAAATTACTGCTTTAGGTGAATTTTAAAAAAAAATTCTATTATGTATAATATGCGCCTAGAAATGTATGACAATCATAAGGATATACATGACTATTTATGGGGAGGAAGTGACTAAATCCTCAGGAAGAGTAAAATGTAGCTGTGGGTGTAGTATCTGAAGGCATGGGCTCCGCTCCTAACTCTGCCACTTAGAATTTGTGTGACTCCGTGAACGTGTTTCTTCCTCTGTTAACAAGAAGCCATAATATTTGTCCTATTTACCTCACATAACTGTTATTTGAAAAAAAACTTGTAAACTATAAAATGTTATCCAAAGAAGGAGAATTATCATTTTGAGATTTAAAGTACGATCTTAATGCATGAGACAAATTTAAATTATGAAAACAGAAAGCAGAAGAAAGGATTTTACCAGTGATTTCTTTCCTCAAGCTTTTCTTTCTAACATGCCTTGCTAATCCTTCTGTAGTCCCACATGTAGGAATCTGAGGACAGGGCCCTGCCATCCAGCCCTGTAGCTCCTGCTTCTCTCTATGCTGGTTTATCAGTCAGTCTCCTGTCACAGTGGGATTCTACCTGCTAGCCACAGGGGAGCAGTGTGTGGCCCAGACTGCCCTGTGGGTTTAGATGAATGAAGACTAATTCTAATTCTTGCCCAAGGGAGTCCCTGGCAAAGCAGACAGGCTTTGAGGTTCCCCAGAAGATTATGGTGGTCCAATGTGATTGAGTCCACATGACAGCCCCTTAAGAACACCTTGAAGCTTCTGTCTAATGGGTGGGGCTTCCCAGACACCCTACTTTCCACCAAACCTATCCTAGGGCTACGGTAGGCTTTTTTGGTCTGTCCTGGTTCTGGCCTAAACTGTTATTGCACTCTCAAAGTTCCACAAAATACTTCCACCCCCTTCACACTCCACTGCCGCCAAACAGGGCTGCAACAAACCTCAACAATAAATACACTTGACCCTTGAACAACATGGGGGTTAGCGATGCCGACTCCCATGCAGTCAAAAATCCACGTGTAACTTTTCACTCTCTCAAAACTTAACTACGAACAGAGTTACTGATAACATAAACCATTAATTGATACATATTTTATATGTTACATGTATTATATATTGTATTCTTAAAGATATTATTAAGAAAATCATAAGAGAAAATACATTTACAGTACAATGTATATTTATTGAAAAAACAAATGCATATAATTGGACCTTTACGGTTCAAGCCTGTGTTGTTCAAAGGTAAACTATATAGATATTTTAATACTCAAATGGGCACGTAAGCTAAGGATGAGGACAAGCACTAGATAATAAACTAGTAAGCAAATGCTGTTTTGTATGTTGCTGGTACGTTTCTAGAAGAGGCTACTTACCAACCGGGTATTTACCACAGGAAACAGCAAGGCCAGAAGAGCTCCATTCAACATGTGCATCTGCAGCCTGGAAAGGAAAAAAGATAAAGTCTAAGTGACGCTCAGACTCTGATGGAAAGGCAGACAAAAATGTGTCAGGTTATTATTCCATGCCATATGGGAGAGCACGTAAACAAGTGGCTCTCTGTGTAAAACAGCACGCTAGTTGGCACACACACATAATAAAAAGCTGCATATTTTGTATTAACTGAAACGTTCTGAAGAGCACCACCACTGCCTAAAGTCCCCCAAACACATCTAGAACACACTTTGGTTACAACACTTCATTACATAATGAGCTCTGAGCTCCCTAAACATCCACTCAGTCTCAATCAATGACTTCAACTCTTCAGCTCAAGGGGCATTAGAAAAAGTGAACTGCAGTGGCTAAGTGACCTATCTCTTATAACATGGTTGCTTATTTACACAGCCATACCCAGTCATTTCCCCCAAACAGCGACCTGGGCAGAAATAGGCTAGTACAACCCAGGAAGCCAACTGCAGTGTTTTTGAAAACTCTTCTTCGTTTTCTTAGATATGCCTTCAGGGGCTGCTGTGGAAGGTGGGAGAGCAGAAGTGGTAACCTTCCAAGCTTCTTTTGATCTATTTTACATATTGGGCTCTATGACTAAAGAGCAAAAACAAAAAAAAAAAAGGAGGAACAGTGAGGAGAGGGGGAGGAGGAAGGAAGAGGAAGAGAAGAAAGCCACTACATCATCGCCTAGTGACACTGTTTCCCAATATTAGACTTGTTAAAACTTGCACGCTAGAACTCCTTTATAAGGATAACCAGGTCAGAAACAAACTCTACGTGTAAGGGCTCTGAAGATGGATTTAAGCAGCTTTCTTTATCATTAAAGGAAAATGGTCCTTTACTACTAAGAGAGAAGCAAAGAAAGACAGTCTCTCCTCTCTCCTGAAGAAAAGCTGATTTGATGGGTCATGTACAACTACTGCTGAGTCAAGTACAAACACTGCTAAGTCAACATGTCTCGCACAACTCAAGTCTCAGACATAGCATCTCCATGGTGCCAGGATTTCTCCTATGGCCCCCCAAAAGAAAGCAGCCCACACCTTGAGAACCCCTAGGACTTTAGCTCCTCTCTTGGAGCTCATAGACATGTGCACAAGACTATAAGAATTTACAAGACCCAAGGGAACATCACAGAAGCCCCAAGTCTGTTTTTCATTTTTCCCAGTGTATTTCTTACTGCCGCTCTTGTTACCAATGCCATGATGACAGTGATCCTGTGGACTTAATATATTCTAGGCAAGTATCTAATTAATTGCTTCACATAAACTCCCCCACTTAAATTTTACAGCAATCTTATGAGCTAGATACATTTATGTTTACTATTTTGTTGATGAGGAAACCAGGTTCAAAGAACCAAAGTGACCTAATCAATGCCACACTTAAGATAGTAGAACCAAGATTCAAATGCAGGTTTACCCAACTTCGGACCCCAAACTCTTATATCCCTCTCACTGTTTTATATCAGAGCCTCCCTCTCACCCTCCCTTGCAAATATGTCCTCAGGTGGAGAATCATAGATGCCCCTTTTTCTTTCATTTTAGCTTTAGGGTCTCTCTACTGACAACTTCATACCCTGCCTTAGGCTTAATCTGCTTTCAGGGGATGACCAAGGAGAGAATGCTATTAGGTCACAGCAGGCCATCACAGTCCTACAGTTTAACAGAACTGCCTTGATCCATAAAATGGAGAAGGCACACCAATGCAACGACACTCCTACCTCCCTAGACTGGCCAGGTTACCATGCTTTTACAATAGGGTCATTCAAAGAGACACTCCGTGCTCTGAGAAACTGAAAACTCTGGCTGAAGCCTCAGTGCCTAGAGCAGGGGCCACTGACAGCCATTCCAGGTGAAGTAGAGTCTAGCCTAACTCTGTCCCTAGGCCCTCCTATGTGACAGCTACAGCATAAACATTCTGGATAATGCACTCAGCATAAAAGATTGTGGTGACAGGCTTTGCCATTCGCCTCAAAAGAATGCTGGCACTACACAAGGCCAATTAGAAATTAGGGAACCAAAAGTTAAATCTTGAGGATGATGGAATTGATCCCAAGGTCCCATGGAAGGCCAAAATGTAAAATTATAATGTACACTTGAAAATTATATAATTGTATTAACCAATGTTACCCCAAGTAAATAAATAAATAAATAAATAAATAAATGAAAAGAAAGAAAAATATCAAAATTCAAAATGATTGTTAAACTTCTTAGATAAAGGCAAGCTTTGTTCTGGGTCTTCAAAATTCAGTTTCATAAGCTACATATATGCCAAAGTGTAAAATATACATAAGATATTAAAAGGTCTTGCATATCAATAATTACAAAATATCTAACATGTACTGAGCATTTCTACATGCCAATCACTGGGCTAAGTATTCAAATGCATCATCTCATTTAATCATCACAATTTTATTATAATCATCATCTTCTTCAATTTCATAGCTGAGAAAACCAAAGCACTGAGTGATTAAGTGACTTGTCCAAGATCACAGATAGTAAGTGGCAGAGGGAGAAGTCACACTCAGGTCTTGCCAAGTTTCAAGCCTACGTTTTTGTCTCTGTATCTTGCTTTAAATACATAACGTGAACATTTCACATGTTCCGTGTGTGTGTGTGTTTGCGCACACGCGCACATGTCTATCAAACTGCAGGCCAGGTAGGAAAAGATTCCGAGATGTTGGATGGACAGGGAGGGTCATGCCTAAAGGCAATAGAACCCCTTGCGTGTTGTGTGGCAAAACTATCCCAATTACACAGCTGCACTGCCCTCTAAAGAAAGAGGGCACAGCACATCAGGTAAGCAACTGACCCTATTAGAGGCAAATGCTTTTGATTGCACTTTATACTCACCTCCAGCCTGCCACCCAGATTTCTATTGGGTACAGAAAATGGTTAATGGGTCACTAGAAAGTCCTGGGAGAGTTCCTTCATCTGTACAATGGGGACAATAATAGTACTAACTCAAAATGTTGTTTTAAGGAATCAATATATATAAAGTGTTAGAAAGGTACATGGGACATAGTAAGACACAAATACATGTTTCTTAAATAAATGAAAAGCTTGCCTAGAAGCCTCAAGGTTAAAAAGAGAAGAAGGAAGGGGAAAAAGGAAATTATGTGAAAAAGCTGAACTGCTTAAAAATGTCAAAGTATGAGAAAGAGGCCCAGAGAAAGTAAAAGGACAGACCGAAGGCCAGAACCTTAACAGATGTATTCCTGCTCAGTTAGTCATACTTATAAACCTTCTTGTTGGCTGAAAGTCTTGGCCATTACCATTGTCACAAATATTTTGTCAGTGTTTCTGTTTTTGGACAGGATATTATACTAAATTATCTTAGTTGGTAACAACCTGGGGCAATATGGCAAGTGTCATGGGTTTGATTCTCCTCCAGGTTAGCTAATTTTATTAAATTTAGTTCCACAAACATTAACCAATACATTACTGTGTATCTAACATTTTTCCTGGTGCCATAGAAAAAAAGGAGATCAGTATAAATAAGACATAGTATTTGCCTTCAAGAAGCTAACAATCTTACCGGGAAGTTAAGAAATTAAATAACTAGAGGAAATGTAGTATAATATAATGGTTAAGAATTTACAGTTCGGAATCAAACCTACATTCAAATCTCAGCTCTACCACTTATTGGCTGTAACTCTGGACAAGTCACTTAAAATATGTATGTGTATCAGTTTCCTCGATCTTAAAACTGGTCAAATAACAGTACCTAGCTGAAATGGTTGTTGAGAGAATTTAATGAGATATGACCACATGAAGTGATCAACATAGTACCTAGGGCATAGTAAATACTCAATACATGATTGCTATCATTATCCTTAATAAAGCAATGTTAATAAATATCACATTATTATACATATAAACAAATGAAGGTATTAAAAACTTCACAAGATGACTTATATTTCAATTTAGTACTTGATTACTGCCAAGAATCAAAAGATATGGAACAGATGACAAGTTCAATGAGTGTCTTGAAAGGCAAATTCATAGAGAAGAATTCTAAAAGAAAATTATATAATATTTTGAACTGGACAAAAATTAAAATACAATGTATCAAAATGTGCGAGATGCTTACAACATGAAATTCTTATATTAGTAAAAAAAAAAAAAAGAATGGTATCAAATCAGTAATACAAGCTTCCACCTTAACAGGAAGACCAAAATAAACCCAAAGCAAACAGAAGGAATGAGATAGTAATGGGCAGAAATCAATAAAATTAAAAACAAAAACAATAGAGAATATTGATAAAACCAAAAGCTTGTCTTTGGAAAAAAAATCAATATAATTGATAAAAGTCTAGGCAGTGAAAAACATGGATAAAAAGAGAGAAGAAAAATTTACCAATATTAGGAAGGAAAGAAGGGATATCACTATAGACTCCCTGGAATTAAAGAGATAATAGTGGGGATACTATGAAAAGTTCTATGCACATAAATTTGATGAGTTAGATAAAATGAATGATTTTCTCTAAAACCACGAATTACCAAAACTCATGCAAGATGAAATAGATAAGCTGAACAGTCCTGTTATAGAAATAGAATTGGCACTTAAAATCTTCTGAATAAGAAATTCCCCGACCTAGATGGTTACATTGACCAACTCTACCAAGTATTTATACAATGTTGTCAAAAAAAGAGAAGGAAACGTTTCTCTACATATTTTATGAGTCTATTATTACCCAGATACAAAAACTATACAAAGAATGTACCAGAAAGAAGGAGGAGGTGGTGAAGGAGAAGAAGGACGAAGAGAAACAAAACTAAGACTAAGTTAATATTCCTCATTAATACAGACACAAAAATGCTCAACAAAATGTTAGAAAATCTAATGCAGCGATATAAAAATAATAAGTACTCCATGACCAAGTGGGGTTTGCCCTGGTAATAAAAGGTTGACTCGATATTTGAAATTTGATTAATAAAATCGACCAAATTAACAGTGTAAAGAATATACAGTACAAGAGCAGAAGGAAGGAAATA